AACAAAGTGAGAAGACCAGTGAGGGTTAGACACATAAAACAGATTCTGCAACACGTGCAGTTCAGACATAGGTAAGGAAGCACATCCGGTATGAAGAAGAAGTAGTAACTCTAACACAACTTGATTTAAAGGAACACACTGTATTCAAAGTGCTCGGGTCTCCCATTCACAATAACACACTGGCTACAGCTAGCAGAAGCAGCTGTAGCAACCGCTCATCACGCTCAGGTACCAAACACAGTTGAGCTCATTTTTACATTTATATTGGAGGTAAACAATGTCAACAAACATTTCACTTAACTTTTGTTAGATGCAAGATGAGTTTCTTGCACGCTTTTAATTGCAAGCAATCTCCAACACACTTTCTTAATTGTACAAAATGTTGGCAATACATTTGTAAAATTTAGACAGTGTGTAAGAGTTTATATTGTCATGCGTGATAGATTCATTCCTCTCGTGTCTTATGAAATAGATGTAGTTCTTTATTGAAGTGAAGGCTCTTTCGATACGATCAATCATTAAAATAATGGAGACTGTATTGTTTCAAACATGTGAGTGTATAGAATAGTATTTCAACTTTAACAATACATAAATATTAGATATATGAAATATTACATTAAGTGTTTCATGCAAACCAGCGTTCCTGTTAAAGGACGTTTCCCTGAATCTCAAACTGTCTCTGATCAGAGTTTAGAGAATCTCATTGGTTGGCTCTTTAGTGATGATTTTATGAAAAGCAGCTTCTCCATGTGTGTCTGTCCGGGCACTATCATGACTTCAGCACCACATGGGCAGCATTCGAGTAACTTTCCAAAGAGGAAATGAGAGGTTAGTCATGTGATCTGGGTCACATCCAGCCTCTCTGCAGAGCTGACCTCATGCTGGAGGTTATGGGGGAAGTCGAACACGCTGCCTGCTGCTTTACACATGAGTCAGCTCTGAGACTCCTCCAGTTCTTCTTATCAGGTCCGCTAACAGACACAGGAAAACATAAAAAAGGTGTGTCCTCCCATCTATCGGCTGCTCATTAATCATCCAGAGAACAACAGCACTGAGTGATGAAGATATCTATGAGCAGGATTATCTCAATTTGATCCTTGTCACCTTCTCAGAGCTGCAGGAATGAGCACAATGAGTTAATATGTTCAGGAGTGTGAGTGTTTGTGTGTGAGTGTGGAGGTCTTTAACGATAAATCCAGGCACTTCCCTTGAAGGGAGCCAGGCCCTGGGCTGGTCTTGGCTGCAGAGACTGTGCGGCGCTGGCTGTGCAGCTCAAGGCCTGGAGGAGGCTTGCATGCACACACACACACACACACACACACACACACACACACACACACACACATGTATTTGTGCATTCCTCAAATTCCACATCTGATAGGTGTATGTGTGTGCTTCCTTCTGAGTTAGACACTAGAGGCATTATAAAAAAAAAAGATGGCATTTGACCTGTAATACGATTTTCTCTCTTTCTTCCTTTAAGGTAGTCAGAGCAGTGGATGGGATCTCAAAGTTGAAGTGTAAAAACTCAGTTTAACACATGGGAGATCAGTTCAGTGTCTATGACGACCAACAGGCAATCATTAGAAATGCTCCTTATCTATATTTTTAAAATGCTTGAATACAAATTATTATTAAACACAAAGTCATAAATCCTTGCGAGGGGCGGTCAACCCACTTGGCAACAGTCCCAAACGGAGCCTCTGTTGAGCTGCCTTTTCCTCCCTTTCTCTGTGTGCACTCAATAAGTATCCTGTGGTATTTACACTCCCATCAGGCACAATGCACACCTGGCACATTCGTAATATTCTACCCAGAGGTTACTACACTCATTATTGAATCACAACACTGAGGGTTAGAGGGAAAGCACCGGCTCGGTTAAGTTTCTAATCAAATCTAATAGCTGGCCTGGTTTCAAACCTTGAAGTTGTGTTGTTGTTGTTTTTTTAAAAGGAATGCAACTTTTTATGTTTTATAGACACAAGTTTGCTCACCGGATCATTTGTGTTTATTCACGATGGTCGAAACCAGTCCACGAACGTCTGGCTAACAAGATGCGTCTGAAAACCAAACACCATCCTGCCTGGGTTCATAACATCACACTCTCAGGTAAGGGCCCGTGTCAACGAACGCCAATTATTTTTAGTACCTAACAAATGCAGTTCAGCATTTTCAGCCTATTCAACATTCAGAGTCCTGAAGCATCCCCTCAGTTAGTGGAAAATTAGTGACATACCTTCTCATCAATGTCACTTCTCCCTTCTCCTTCACCAACCAATCACAATCTAGAAGCGGCGGGACTTCACTATACCTTAAGCGGTAGTGCCGTGAGCCAACTTTGGTGACCTATTAGACAGTAAGCTCCAGTGAGAAGTGCCCTGAAATTGAAGCCGGGACCGCTCCCTGGCAGAATAAAGCCCTTCATTTCTCCTCTTTCTTCGTGATTGTGTCTGGATACATTTTTCTGCTGCTACCAGTTGCTAGAGGTTGACCAGGTCCCAGTTTGATGACCTCAGAGTTATTATCAGTAGCAGGATTTTCCTGACGGTCAACAACTACAGATGTTCTGCGTCAGCTGTGGAGCTCCTGCCATCTGTCTCCACTGAGTGACAGTTTCACTGGATCTTACAAGTCACACTACAGTCAGCTGAGATCTGTCTAACTACAGCGCTGTGAACCCAAAATAATCAGACTTGACTTGAGTTTTAGTTACAATAAACGTAGAAATAAATGTAGAAAGGATGCTGAAATAACTACATCAGGATGCAGATTTGGTAGGAGTCTGAATCCATGACTTGTCAGGTTTATTCATAAGAAGGAAAGCAAACAACTATTAAATGTTTGTTTTGTGAATGGTGTTTGGATTCACCAGGATGTCAGGAGAATCTCAAGGTTGCCATGCAAATTTCTCACTGGAATTTCAAGTCAAACTGGCACATTTGTGATATGACGATGTGATATGTCAAATTGTGTCATTTGCATCTTCACACAGCACAATATTACCTCATCAGTTTGGTTCTCAACCGGTGAATCATGATACTTTTAAGTACCGACCACTGAAATGTGTCCAAAGCATTAAATATTGTACAGCAACAATTAGGGTTCTCACAATACAATAATTATAACTTTCATACATTTCCGGTAAAAATAAAATAACAATGAATGTTTGGATACCACGGCAACAAAAAGAAGAAGTCTGACTCACACAGTTACGGGGCAGTTCTTGTTTTCAAGGATCACAAACTGCAGGCAAACTCCTTCAAACAGTCTTAATTGAACAAATACGTTGGCAGCATATTTGTACAGTTTAGACTTTGTGCAGGAGATTTCTTGCAATTTTTGATGGATCCATTCCCCTCATAAAGAAACTGTCATGTTAAATAGATGTAGTTTTATAAAGCTTCTGCACTTCCATATAGCTATTATTACTATTAATCATAAATTTGATAACAGGGACTGTATAGTGGTTTAAAAAAGTTTTGAAAAGGATCAAAGCATGGAAAATGTAGACTACCTTAGTGACAGTTACCAAAAGTCTGAGCGAACTCTTAATAAACTTTATCTGTCGTTTGACGAGACAATAGGTGATATCTAGTAAATCCGATTTATGGCCAGCATGGTCACAATCACTGTTTGCATTATTAACCTGCTAATCTTAACGTTTAGCAATTAGCTTTGACGTGATTGTGAGTGGGACTTCAGAAAGGTTCACACACACAGCGCTGCCTTTGATTCACACTGAGGATTAGTGTTTCATGTTCACACACTGTATCTGCTACAATGACTTAACAGAGACTCTGATCATATCTGACATCATATAACACTGAACAAGCTCTAACAGGCTGAGGAACAAGGGCACATGTTGGTCTGACAAGCCTGCAGCTTCAGACTGTTCAGGGCTCTTAGAATATCTGAGAAATCACTCGACCTGTGTAAACAAATCCGGATGACCCAGGTCAGGTTAGCAATGATCATAAATGTGTCTGATAGTTAAAGTGAGAGCGAAAACCAAAGAAGCTTTACAGGGAAGTTAATAAACTGTGACAGAGTCAACAGACAGGGTGGGGCTGGTGGGTGCAGCATCTACACCCTGCTCAATAGACATCACCCTACCTGACAGCTAATTCCCTTTTTCAGAGGTCGTTCACACTGAAACTTCAGGGTGTTCCTAAGTACAGAAACCCAACGAAGACAAAAGCATTGTGTTGACAGTAAACTTATCTGCAGTAATTCTGACAGTTGTTTGTTGGTTTAAAGTCATTTGTTAGTTTTTTTCTCCATTTTTGATGGTGCACATATTATCTGCTACTTGATATTCCCGTATCATAAAAAGAAAAGATCTTTTTGGTTTTGAATTTTGGTCGAACAAAATTAACATTTTCTCGCATCTTGTTAAACATTTTAAGATTTTTTTTTTAATACATTCCTAGCATTATAAGGCCAAATGGCTTTTTCTGTGAGTTGCCAAGCACATTTAAAGATTTTAGGCCAAGAAAATTCCAACAAACTTCCTTAAAAGAAAAACAGTTTCTGCTCTCAGGAAACAACTTTTGGAGTATCACAGAGAGGAAACATGGGGCAGTAAGTGAGGAGTCAATTGAAAAGGAATGTCTCAGGACAGATTGATAGTACAAACACACACACAAAAAAAAATCTAAGTTTATCAGATACACAAGTTTATCAGACTGTTCCCCCTCCCAATTATCAGCAGGGGTGGGGGATTGATCAGACCATTGACTTTTTAAAGTCCACAGTCCTCCGTGCATACCTCGGTATTCCTCAAGTTAATAAGAGCATCAGAAAAGACACCGCAGGCAATAAAAGCTGCCTATGAGAACCGTTTAGTAGTATGAAGTGTCAGAGTCACACCTTAAACCTTGTTCAATCAATCTCACTGTTATTTAACTCCAATTACGCATTTCAAACAACAGTCTGTGACCGCTGCGCAAAAACGCACATGTGCCAAAGCAGCAAACAAACGACAGAACGACGCTCCTCACCTGTGATAATCTCCCGCTTGGCTTCATCCAGGTGACTGGAAATCACGTCCCCCATGGTGGATGGAACTCAGAAGCCCCTGATTGACTCCACTGGTTTATAACTGGTGGCCTACTTTAAGACAAACTCAGGTAATCGGTATAAACGTGTAGAATCCCCCTCAGCTCCTCTGAGATTAAACCTGAGCTGACTGAAGTTTGGAGAAAAGACGGACAGCAAACACTCAGAAACTGGAGGCAGGGGGGAGAAGAAAAGTTGGCAGAGTTACAAACTGAAGGCTTTTCTCGGAGAGACACACCCTCATTAGAGGAGGAGAACTCCCACTTTCCAGCGGTGGTGCGTTCAGGTCACGTAGGAAAATACGTGTCAATGGTGGATTTTTGCGAAAGTTACTCAAAATGTTGTGGCAAAAAAACCCTCAAAACAAACTTATAGCTCCTCTCTAAATCTTTAATCTTTTATGTTGATTGAAAAACTTTATTTTCCCCCCCCCCATTGATATCACTAGTTTGCTATGTTGTGATTTTTAGATTTAGATTTAGATTTAGTTTTCAGTTCAACTCAGTTTTCCCGTGATAATGAGTAGGCTACATTTCTGTGGTTTTCTTGACCTATTTATCTTGTTATCTTGGGGTGACTGATCTGGTTTAACAGGTTAATTTCATCAATTTTCTCGAGATCTTGATAAATGAATGTGTTGTCTCAGGAAAACCAGCGGTGTTATCCCGACATAAGGATAAGATAAATAAGTTGAGAGTTTGAGAAAACAACAGAAATGTAAACATAATCATGCAAGAAATGAATGTATGTCCACTTAGGTCTTCCATAGACACAAGCTACTGAACAGAAAGTGTCAAAATGTTAACTTAAATGTTTTTACAGGATAAGATTGTCTCAGTTAACTATCAGTTTTCATTTTGATTTGCCAACAAGTTTTGCCTGTTTATATCCCTGATACAATACGTTTGTCCTTTTCATGTAAAGGAACTCACATTTAAATTAACGTAAAAAATATAGGCTAATAAAAAATTGCATTTTGTGAGAAGTAGTCACCAATCACTCAGATTTGTTTTTCTTATACGTCACACTCAGACATGATAAATTCAATGTTTCTCTTTACATTTTAGTCTGACTATAAAATAGTTAAATTTGCTCTAACTGCTTTTAAACAGATCTTCAGAACAAAAATTCCCATGAATGAGCTTATTTTATCTAATTCGTCAAACTCTGAAAGGTGTGATTTATTTCGTATTGTTTACCATAATGCATAATGTCTTTGGGAAATAAAGTAGTTATTAACTATTGATCTGCTTAATCTATGGTTTGAACATGGCAATTGTGCATAGTATAGGCTAACAGATATTTAGGCCTATGTCAAAATCTAAAAGCCTATATCCATTTTTTGTCCAACCATTGAACGTCTCATAAGTCACCGTGGTGAAGGCGGGGTTTTCCAAACAGCCTGACGGGTCACTGTGTGAAGATGTTTGTTTTAAGGAAAATGTGTTTTTTGAGTTGTTTACTTCAGTCACGCAGCACAACAAACACAAGAGGACATTTGTCAACTTCGCTGCAGATTAGTTACCGTCAGTACAATCCAGAAGTTTCAGTCAACCAAAGATTTTCAGTGTAAGAAGATGACTCACTACATTTCAAAACTCTATACTGTATATCAAGAACTTTTTTTGTCCCAACTGATCGGTAGTAGTTCTCTAGACTTTAAAAAATACAGCATTTTACCTACTACCATAAAGTGTTTATAGAAATAATATTCAGAACTCTGGATTTGAAAAGTGAAGACGATGAAGAGATGTATTAAACCTGCGATTATTTCCAACAGCCAGCAAGGGGAGACTCCATGACATTAAAATAAAGTCAGGGTTTTTTAAACTTTTGAAAGAAAATGGGCCTACTTCCCTCAACTTTTTTTTAACTCAAATAATATTTTCCTAATGTGTTTATTGTCTCAATTTCTTGTTTCAAGACTTCTTCAATACAGCATGATGGTCATCTAGTTATGGTCCCATTTAGAGTCAAATAGACCAGAAAGCAGAAAGGGAGGATTTAGGGTGGAGATTCCTTGTGATCACTTAACGAGGCTTTTATTTGCATCTGGATCCACTCTCTCATCCACATGTGGTCACTTCAATTATAAGTAGTTCAAAAATACAAACATTCATCCATACATTTTAATTTACTTATTTTCCCCCTGACAGAGACTTTCAGTTGTTTTCTCCAGATATTGACTTGTATCTCATTATCTTGTGATAACAACACTTGTTTTTCTTTGAGGAATTAATTTGATTAATTTTCTTAAGATCTTGAAAAAATAAAAAGATAAAGTCATTATTGCAGGAGAGAAAATTGTGTAGCCTAAATAAGTCAAGATGTTGAGATAACGACTCATTATTATGAGAAAACAAAGCAAAGTAAAATGTATGACTTCTGTACTAGATCCAGTAGATACAAACAAACAACTTCTATGTTCTCCTGAATCCAGGCCTCTCTCACAGGAATAAACTGGAGCTCTCTTACTGGAAATGATAAACCCATTTGGTGGAAAATTCCAAGAAAAAAGTCTGACTTTTACAATAATGCGCTGCTTCTGAATACATTTCGAAAATGTGCAGGAACAAACTGAGACAAAGTCAAAGTAAGACTAAGAGAGATGTTATCGAGTGTGGAATAAACTTTGTGATATTTTTTCTCTGACAGAGTGAGACTTCTTCTCTTTTCTCCTTCTCTCAGGTGACGACCACGTTTACTGTTTACGTTTCCTCTGCTGCCCTCTCGCGGACAAATAAAACATTTTTTTTATGAGGTTGCCTGAAGTGAGCTCTGATATATTCTACCGTGATATTTTTAATACGTCTTTTATATTACACGGTGTCCATACTTTTATAGAACATCTACAGGCTACTTCTTACCATACAAATAACATGGATTTATAATGCGATTGCAGGTTTAAAAATATTTTTTTCATTTTAATTATGTAAGAAATATTTATTACCTTCTTACACCCATGATCTAGTAAAGTCATAAAAACAGCAAGCATTGGGTTTCCGGTTTTGATAGATTGTCTTCAAAACAAAAGCATTTAGAACCAGCCTGCTGCAAATTTGAATCTAAAATCTGTTGGAATGATTTTTCCTTTGAGCCAAGTTATTGCGAGCTTTGCTGATGTTAAAATGTTTGGAGGACAGAAGATGACAAAATTAAATCAAAAATAACCAGTAAGATGATGAATTAATAAATATACTCATACCCAAATAATATTAAGATTAGATGTAACCATCTACGGAAGCCCTAAGTGGACATACACTACATTCATACATTTTATTTAACTCATTTTCCCACTGCTAACAAGTTATTTCTGGTCATCTTCTGGAGCTCTCAACTTCTTAAAGTCATTAACAACGTGGGTTCATGTTCATATCTATGTTGGGGAAACAACAGAAATGGACTCTTATCACAGCCATGTGTTATCCCAAGATAACGAGATAGACAAATAAGATCCCGAGGGAACACCCCAAATGTTAATACGAAAAAACTGAGTTCAACAATATGTGTGCATGTATCAGTGACACAAATGTATGACTATAATTAGGCTACATGTTTTTTGACACCTAGGCTATTAAACTTTCATTACTTATTTTCAGTACATTTTGTTATAATATATAAATTTAATTAGTGTTTTGTTTATTTATTTATTCTCTGTCAAAAGAAAAAAGTTGTATAAGCCTGGTTGTATATAAGTCCGTACTTTCATGAGGTTTAGTGATTTTCTCCCTCCTTTATACAGATCAGGTGTATCATTAACATGTCCCTGATGTAGCTGAATTATGTTTACTTCATGACACCTGTGTGAAGGCTTCAGTAAAAACTTCAGTGGACCCATGTTTGAGATCATATTATCACTGAAACTGATCCCAAAGTCAAGAATGACTTCCTGTCACTTACAAAATGTTCATGTTTCTACACAGCAGATCCTCTTTGACACTCTCAGTTAGATTTTAAATAATCTACTCTGTGAGTTTGATTTTATTAACTCATTTCATTTACCAACGGAACTTTAAGGCTTTTATTTTGTTAACATCCGTAACTGCAGTGTGTGTATTGTGTTGAACTTGACGTGAGGCAGGTTCGTGTCTCCGTCAGTTCTGTGTTTGGAGGAGGACGCGCAACAAGGGGCTCATCATGGCACCGCTGGGACTAAAAGCCATCGTTGGAGAAAGTAAGAACTTCTATCTTTACATGAAAGTACCTTTAATTTAGTTATAATGACGATTTAGAGTGTGATTTGTGGATATTATTGTTATTTTTTACTGTAAAGGCATGAAGGGACACCTCCAAACTGAACTTTCAGTATGAGATGTAAGAGTCTTATAGGCATATATAATTTAGATATAACTTTCTTAATTTGATTGTAATGATGAAGCTCTTGGTGACGCTTTTATTTTGGGAACTCGGAGCGCCAAAGACACACACACCTCCGAGCCATGCTGTTCTCCAAACGGTTATTTCACCAGATAACGAGGGAATTTAATGGATGTTATCATTGTGAAGTTTAACAGTGATGTTATCTGAATCTATCGAGGGATTTTACATACTTTAATGAGCCGTTATTTGCGTTTGTCCGATGTTTATCAGGGCCCGGAGTCCTGGTTTGGTTCTGCGTAAATCTGCCCACTAATCTTCTGTCTGTGCGGATTAAGCGCTTTGACATCATCCTCAAAGGAAGAGGAGCGGAGCAGCCAAACAAGTGTTTGTTTTACTCTATATAAGCACGAGTGCATGGACGGACATCATTGGATAATGTGCAGTCATTATTAATATGTTCAAATACATGTGTAAGAGCTGTTTATGGTTTCACTCATCCTGAGAAGGAAATCGAAAGAACAAGATTAAAATCCACATTTGGACAATAAAGTTTAACTCTGAGAAAAAAAGAAAAGACATTTTTTTTTCAGTTCTAGGAATGAAGTCGAGAGTTAAAACATGTGAGGATGACCTCATTTATTTCTTTTTCACATTGATAGCCTCATATATTAGACATTTTGGGGGGAATAGGGAATAGGGAATATTTAAAATCACGATATACCCGATCCTCAGCTTGCACATAAATATAGGATCAGAAATGATTTGACAATTTTACTTTATTCATTACATTTTCTCCACTAAATATCCTCCCCTCATGTGTACGCCTGCATTAGAAAGTTCAACTTAATTCTCAACACTTCAGCTTTGATGAAGACAAGAAAAGTCCTCTCATGTTGTTTTAGCCTGCCCGCCTGGCTCTAGTGATTGTAAACAAAGATTACTTATACATTATATAGGCTACAGAAATGTCATTAAACCAATGATTTTCATTAAAAAGATGATGCATGGCTCACTACACAAGACAGAAAGGGCAGTGGTGCAACAAACTGCAGTTCCTCGATTGTCCACTTGAGGCTGGCTGTGAAAGCCATGAAATCTCATTTTAAAATATATATTTGTGCAGCAGGAAAAACATATTTACAGCCCGTTACAAAAACAGTTTTGGTCTCTACAGCTCATTTCTCTATTGGTCAAAAGTGTACAGAGGGATGTTTTTTAAAAACTCCTCCGTTGTGTTTGTATCGTGGAGAAGAGTTGAGTTGTTGTAGCTGTTTGCCACGAGGCTTCGCTTGAACTAAATTCCGTTACTGACCGTAATAAGTAAGTCTGCTTTGGTTCTGTTACTTTAGTCATGTGGAACATGCTAGCTAGCTAATCTGGCCCGCTTTAATTCCACTTCTTTGCCTGCTCCTCAATTAGTTTAGAGTTACAATATTTCCAATATGTTAGCCAACAGCAGTGGACTGCATGACACCATTTAGACAACAAAGTTGACGTCTGCGGAAAAGACATTGAAGACCAAAAGGTGCAGTGTAAAGAAACAACAAACAACTAACTGTGATACAACAACTGTAAAGAAACAATCATAATATTGACTAGACATGTCATTTCCAAACTTGTCACACACTTATTTCAGGTTAACGTCACAGTAGAGGTTTCTTTTTAAGTCTTCTGTTCAGTTTGAATCAATACAAGGACTGTGGGATCATACAGATACTTCACCATGACAGAGTTAAGAGAAACTATTCATCAGATCGCTTTTTTATCCGTCATGAAAGAGAGGCAGGTTCAGAAAATGATTAGTCGTCATTCCTTGTTGCATTTAGTCTTCAAGTCAGCGTTAAGTGAATGAATCTGTGGTTTCCTTTTCAGGAGTTTCTTTCATCCGTTCTGTTTTCTGTCTTCAGGTCTCAGTAGTATGTCACACTGTTTTTGCAGAGTCCTCAATGTGAACCATTACAAATTTGATCAATCAATTAAATACATTTGAAATGAGTTTCTCTAAGTGACAACCCACAGCAAATAATCACCAAGCTCAGCAATTTATATGAGTAATCAATTCCTTTGTTTCAAGTACTGATGAAACAAACAAACATCAAAAAGATGCTTTGTATCCACCCCCACCCCCCCACACACACACCCACACCCACCCCCCCATCTTTGCACCACATAGCATCTGTTACAGTCCAAACCCATTTGTGTAGCATATTTCACCAAATTGTAACTCAATGTGCTTTACAAAGAGAAACCCTAAATTAAACCACCATGAATGAACAGTGACAGGCAGACAGACACAGACACAGACACAGACACAGACAGACAGACAGACAGACAGACAGACAGACAGACAGACAGACAGACAGAAAGAAAGAAAGACAGCTCTCACAACATGAGCTGTGAATATTTCTGTACTGAACAGCAGCAGCATCAACTGTGATGAACAAGCAAATGTGAAGACAAACATTGTCTTTTTGAACAAACTGAAATAACGTTACAATCTTCAGTTCCCTCACTCACTAAATCTACAAATCCATAGATATATAACAAGATATGCTTAAGATCATACCTGCATGCTGAACAGACAGCAGTCTCTGTCGCTCACATCTCTGATGATGATGATGATGATGATGATGATGTGAACACAGGAGTTTTCATGTGGCTCAGAGCAGGAGTCAGAGATGTAGATTAGACTTAGTGATAGTGAATCTGATCACAATCAGGGACCAGGGTCACGTTAGGGGACAAGATGTTAGAACTATTACAATAGAACAATAAAATGTACTCTGACACAGACATACAGCAGCACTGTTGTCCCCACACATTGGTCTAACTTCTGGATTAAAGGCCTGAAAGGAACACTTTATAGAAACTAATGAAGTCCTCTAATTAACACTCATAAATACACTCAGTCCAGTATAAACACTGAGGTGTCATGACAGATTTAAGACCCCAGAAAAAAATGGAAAAGGTAATCTGACAATCAAATTATGCACCCAGGTTCATAAAATGTAGAGTAATATGTTTCAAAATTGCCAATCCTTATTCACACAGTAAGGGGAAAAAAATACTTAGTAAACCTGCACAATGTTCACTGCCAACCTGTTCCTTCACAGAGTAAAAAATAAAACAGGAAAGTATCCCAATGATGCACACGAAAATGAAGAGGAACTTTGTTTTTGTTTTTTGGCTGAAATAAAAGTCAAAATGAGTATGAGGGGCATAAGGAAAATAAATTAAAGGAAACTTTAACAATGTTTTGGATTTGAAGAATTATTGTCACAATGAAGTAAAAATGTGGAGAATAAAATCTAATTATTTAGAATAAAGTTAAAATTTTGACAATAAAGTCAAATGGTTGAGAATCGAGTTGAAATGTTGGGAATAAAAGTCAGGAAAAATAAAGCTGAAATATAACAAATAAAAATAGATACAGCCAAATTTGAGAGAATAAGACAAAATATGAAGAATTAAATCAAAAAGGTATTGATTAAAGTTGAATATTCAGTCAGGGTGCATGGCCAGAAACATGCTTGTCATTTTTTGTCCATTTGAAGACAGATTCTCTTGTAACGTGAATACAGCAGTGATTGTTGAAGAAGTCACAGTAAATCCCCTTTCAGACATTTCCAGACGTTGTCAGAGTGGTGTGCGTGTTAGGAAACAACCAAATCTGTTCACCCTGACTTTATGCAGCCGCCTGTAAAAAGTCTGTGTGAAGTCGGGATGAGGTGATGTGTGAACGCAGCAGGCAAAAGTCTGAAACATTCACATCGAGCGAGTAGACGAATCGATGATGTAGTCTATGATGGGCGGAGTTTTTCAGCTTTATATTCGTCTGTAATATGAGGTGTTCCACTGATATGTTTGTAGTGTGGAAACATCCTTATACATGATGTATTGATATGAAAACACAAACAGAAGCCATCTCTGAACTCTTTTCCTCATGCACGCTCTGCCTCCCTCCCTCCCTCTGCAGCAGCATGGTGTTTTAGTTTATCCCCTCTGAAAGCTGCTTGTTTGATGGCATCCCATTCTCTCACATTCACCTCCACTTAATCCTGTTGAATAATTGGATAAACCCGACCATTCACCCATGTTTACATCCACTTCTGTCAACTCTACTCGTGAGAAACAACTCAAAATGTATGATCTGTGTTTTGTGTTAAATCGTATCATTAAAATCTGTAAAAAAGTCAAGTTAATTCCATTTTCACATTCATTCTATTACAATTTTTGTCTTTAACAATTTATTCTAACCACACAATCCGAGAACTATGAGCTTAAAGTGTAATGTCTCCATCAGCATCTGAGGAAACAGGACATGTTGATTTATTTTGTAGAATGAGAGATTGTCAGTGTGTGTGTGTGTGCATGTGTGTTCATCTGTGTGTGTGTGTGTGTGTGTGTGTGTGTGTGTGTGTGTGTGTGTGTGTTTGTGTGTTTGTGTGCATGTGTGTTCATCTGTGTGTGTGTGTATGTGAAGGATGCTTCTTCCCCGTGATGTCACGTCCACTGACACAGAAACGTCCCAGAAATAGCGTATGGGGAGCGGCGGATGGGGTAAGAGGATTGGGAGCAGATTAGAGGCAGTGATTGCAGAGGCCCCGCCCCCCTCCCACACCGAGGCCCTTCATGTTCAGTCTGACACGCTGCACAGACGATTTAAACCCCCACGGGAGGGAAACTGGGATGCTGCTGATCTACTAGAGGGAATGGAAGATGTGATAATATTAGTTTTATTCACAAATACAGTATAAAGGTCTAAATGTGTCGTCGTTGTGTCCTCCTGAGTGTCTCTGTCCCTCTGTGTCTGCTCATTGGAAAGGATTTACTCAGTCACAGTGACATGAGATTTAGTGCATGTTTGATTACAATATAAAGTTGTTTTTGTCAGGGCTCAGTCATCCAGTCGGGATGAGATTATATTCAATTCAGCAGTTTTAAGATTCTTCACAAATATGTGTTTTAGGAATTCTTGGAGAACTTGACTTTCTCCATTCCTCTTGGCACATCATGCAAAGACAAGGATCACATTTTTAAAGAACCAATCATTTTTCAAACCTCTCATGCTTCATCTGCTACGATATCATCATAGCAGATACTGTAGATTGTAATTTATGTTGCATTTATGTAAATAAAGTGCCTGAGTTTACACAAAGTAAATAACTTACTGAGAGACATTCACAAAGAAGAAAGCAAGCAAGGAAAACTCGTATTAAAGCACCTTTCACAGACACCCCTGTGAGCAGAAACAGGTTTTTCAAGGTTCATAATTTGGTTAAAAAACAGGTTGAAATCAGGTCAGTCCATCCAAGACCTCTCATCCATTTTCAACCGATTGTATACAGTTACAGTACAACATCAATCTGACTTTGTCACTTGATCATTAGGTTAACAAGGGGATGGAAATTACAATTGTAGCGACATTTCTCCTGACTCATTCCGCAGTGTTTGGTGAAATTCTGTCAACACAAAGACGTAGATTCAATGCATTTTATTCTTCATACAAAAATACAACATGTGGTGCTTAATAGGCTGTGGGATGTAGAGACAGTAGTTTCATACCTTCCCAACCGAAAATGAATTTGCATGTGCACCTCTGACTACGAGGCAGAAAGACCCCTGGGTGCCGACGTCAGTGGTTGTCTTACAGAGATCAAATGTAAATTGACATATCATTTTGTTTGTTAGTGGCTGTGACCCACTGCTCACTTTTGAATTAACTTTAGTCTCTGTAAATAGGAGATGCATTTTGAAAATGACTGTGTACATGTGAGATGAATCTTATGACAGAAGCAGATCTGGTTATATCTGCTCCAAATGGGGGTGCCGATATCTCCTAGTGGTTATATTGTGCACCCCATAACACAAAGGCTTTAATCCCCATTGCAGCGACTGTGGGTTCGAATCCAACCTTGGCCCTTTGCTGCATGTCATCCCCCATTCTCTCAGCAATAAAGGCAAAAAGGCCACAAATATATTTAAAAGTAGATAAACACCAAAAGAAGTCATGAAACAAACATCGGAATCGGCCAAATGGTTATTTTAAACATCTGTATCGGAACTGATTTTCCCAATTGCTGCATCTTAACTTGCTCTATATCAGATGGTTTTCTGCACCATTTAAAAAAATCTCTACTGATAATAAAGTTAATGTTTTAAAGTAGGTTTTGGAACAGGATCACACCTTAAACCACACCTGCAATCACCTGACCCGCATACCAATTCCTCGTCGTCACATTTCTCTCCCCCCCCATTCTTTTCCTCTCAACCATTCACCCTGCTTCCTCATCTCTTTCTTTTCAACCTGTTTTATACCTCTTCTATGTCTCTGTCTAACAGATACAGTCTAGGCTGTTATCCCCTCAGGTAGAAAGATGCCTGCAGTGAACCTCCATCCTGAGTTAAGCCCTTCCTGGTTGTCAGTTCATCCTCCCAGACCAGCCCAACAGAAGACATCCCTCCTCCATCTTCACCCCTCCTCTCTGCATGCATGTTTCCGTTTTAACATGTTTACATCCTGAACTTTCACTAAACATTTAAATGCATATTTTGGTGATGTGGGCTGCAACAGTTTGTATGTTCTCCCTTGCATGCGTGGGTTCACTCCAGTTTCCACCCACAGTCCATAAACATGCTCTGTACTGTAGGTTAATACCTGGCACTAAGTTGCCTGTAGGTGTGAGCATAAATGGTTGTTTTTATCTCTACATGTCGGACCTGTGATTGACAAGTCCAGTCCAGCTATAACCCCGCCCCTCGCCCAATGACTGATGGGGATTAACTGTAGCCTCCCGTGACCCCAAACAGGATAAGCGGTATAGATAATGAATGGATGGATGTAGTGGCTTCGTCCTTGCTAGTGAGAGCATTATAAAATGTGCATCACATGCCTCCACTATCTGCAAATATACCCCTGAAGGTTTGCAGCTCAGTGCAGTTTACTGGTATTTTGTGTCTGATGAAGAAGATAAGCAGTGAACTGTAGAAGTATCTTCTGCAGGAGCCACACTCTCATGCCGATGGAGCTGCATTCATTCAGCACATTGATGATTAGCTGGATGGGGAGGGAGCAGCTCTTTAAATAGTTCAATGTAACGTTCAGATTCAACAGATGTGATTCCAGCTACATTGTTTGTAACAATTTCCTCCCTGCAGCCTGACTGCTAGTACAGCTCGTCCACTTAAAGTAACTCTTTCATCCCAGTACTGCATACAACTTCAGTCTTCACACATCTTAGTGAAGTGTGCTGTGTGTTCTTCCCCTGACTGATTCAACCCTTGATCATGATACCAATAATTGGAAACCCTTTTTAAAGAGATATATATATTATAGGTCAGACAGAGATGAAAGTGTTGTCATGATAACTGGAAAGTCTTGGCATGACACCGCTTAGAAATCTGTGCTGAAGCAACTCTGAAAATGTTGTAATTATTTGGCCAACAATGACACTGCTGTAAAAATGGTAAGATGGGCTTTTTTTTGGGGGGGGGGGGGGGGGGCCATGGGTGGAAGCGAGCCCGGACCTACTGCTCGAGACGAGAGTCTCAATACATGGGACGCGCGCCCTAACCATTGCGCCACCAGCGCGCCCTGATCCTGGACAATTTTTAATATTTATTTTGTGGAAGACACTGCACATATCACAGTGTGTGCATTAAAATGTAGATTAAACACACATTTTCTTGCTGTTTGGGGCTGCAGGTAATGAAAATCAATAAAAATTGAAAAAAATGGTGTATGCTGCTGCAAATAAGGCAGAAAGATTGTTGCAAACATGCTCTTGTGACACCACGGGGACACTTCAGCTTTTATGAAATGCAAATATTATTCCAGTCCTCTCTTTTCTCTCCTTGTCACTTTTGATCTCTCTGTCATGTTTGAGGAGACAGGAGCCCTTTGCTATTGCTTTTACTGCCTTCTCTTTTTGCTTACGACTTTTAGCCCACCCCTTCCTATTGTATTGTGATTGGCTGTTGTTGATCTTTGCGCCAACATTTACCTTCAGTGGTTTAAATCTGTCATAGTGATTAACTTGCTGCACTCTATTTTTATGGATTTGATAGCGATGTCAAACTGAAGGTCCCCCCCTGAGGCAATGCCCTCATGGCTTTATACCCTGTAGTACAGGAGATCTATGTGTGGGTCCTGTGTGAAAGTAGATAGGCATTTTCAATTGCAAACATAGAAGGCAGGGGCTTAGTGGTAGAGTCGGTCGTCTCTCAACCAAAAAGTCGGGAGTTTGATCCCCAGCTCCTGCAGGCACCTATCAAAGTGTAGGCTACTTGAGCAGGACACTGAAGCCCAAATTGTTCCTGCTGCTGCTCCTGCTGTGTCAGCGGCATGTTAAGTTGAATGACTGAGAAACTGACAGACACTTTACATACAGCTGCCTCTGACATCAGTGTGTGAATGTGTATGAATGGGATTAGCTGTTGTCAGCATTAATTAATAATTTTGTATCACATGCTGTTTTTTCCCTTTAAGTGCACTAGAGCTAAGCTACCATGTAGACAGCAGTGTTTGCCTGCAGACACAGTGACACCTCTGTGCCTTTGAATGTCTCATTGTGCTTTAAAAAAAGCTTCCAGGCAGCTCAGTTGATGAGTCAAAGGGGATATCCACCTGATGACATCAAACATTTTTTCCGTGTTAAGTTAATGCTGTAACCTTCGGGCTAACACAAGTTCTTTTTTTCCTTTCAAAATAAAAGCAGGTCTATGTCCAAACAGGAAGTTAAATATCTTATAACATGTGATTAACTTGTGATTAATCATTATTAACTATTACATTTCAGCTTTAAATCGCAAATTTAAAAGATGTATTATTTGTCAGCCTTAGTCATTTAGACACTTTACAAACTCTAGCAGTCTCTGCCATCAGTGTGTGAATGTGGTGTACATAAGTTTGTATGACTTGCGGTGATTAAACGCTTTTTAGTTGTATTTGTCAGGTGAATGTGTCTTACTATGACTATAGCTCACTACAATAAACCCTTATTATCAAGTTTGCATTTTTATTGATTTTATTTTCCTTTCAAACATAACAGTAAATGTTTTGTATTTGCCGCAGGGTTTAAAGGTCACATATTATAAATAAAACCATGTTTTTCTCACACTAATTTGTGTCCCTAGTCTGTCTACAAACTCCCAATAATGAGAAAAGTCCATCCTCTCCTTGTTTAGCCTGCTCCACTTTTCAGAAAACGTTTGCTCAAACAGACCATTTGGATAATTCCCCTTCATGACATCACAAAGGGGAATAACCCCTCCTCCAAGTGGGTGACACTCCCACAGCTAGGTGTTTGTTTTGCCCTCTGAGTCTGCCTTCTTATCGTAATCATCAAGGCATGGTGCTAGAAAGCCTGAGCCACTAAAGCCCTTCCAGAGAGGGGGCGTGGTCAGACACAGCTCATTTGCATTTAAAGCTACAGACACAGAAACAGCCTATTCTGAGCAGGGCTGAAATAGAGGGGTTTATAGACGTGATCAAATACAGGATCAGAGTGGATTTAGAACAAGAAACTTCAAAAACATGTTTTGCAGACATGTGAGACTTATTTATACTTGTTGAATAGGAGGAGAATATGTGACGTTTAATACTAACCCATTGAGAATTATTTTGTCCATATTTGATGTGGATTTTTGTTACTAAACTGTGTTTCTACTTTTCCTTTGTTACAGAGATCATGAATGATGTCATCAAGAAGGCACGAGAAAAAGGAAAATGGAAGGTAATGGTCCTGTTGGTCTGATTTTTGCATCATTCCCCTCTAATGGAGATTAGAAGATTTGAAATTAAATCCATCGCTGATTGTGTGTGTTTGTGTGTTTGTGTTTCAGGTGCTGGTGGTTGACAAGCTGAGTATGAGGATGGTCTCGTCCTGCTGTAAGATGACAGACATCATGTCAGAAGGAATCACCAGTGAGTACAACCCCACAGCTCACTTCAGTTCAACTCACCTGGAGCTTTGAAGTCACTTTAATCACACGAAGTGCAGGTGCATTAAATGCAGTTTAGCCAAATCGACCTATTAACAACCACTCTACCATGCAAGTGATTTATATTTAGAGAGTATTTTTTTACTTTAGATTGCGCCGGGATGGTTCCCCCTTTTTCATTTTTCGGCAATCATAATCCATCATTGACTGATGATGATATATGCCTCTGGGTGTGAATACAAATATCCTTTTTCAGTGAAGTCAGAAGTTTGGGTTAAATGACTTACAGTCAAGACTTGCTTTTCTGTGGGGTGTTACTCCTGCTGAAACTCCGTCATTTCTTTGTCCATGTCATCCTGAAGTATATCCTGTCCATCTTTTGAGCCTCAGTTCAGCAGTAGACTAGACGTTACACAGCGGCTGAACCCTGGCTCACTTCAGCGGTATAAACCAGAAACATGAACCGATTCTCTTGTGATTTACCTGCAATCAGCAAGAATTAAGTTTGCCAAAATATGGTTTGTTTGTTAAATGGAAGTCATGTCGATCATTTCAGGTTGTCAGGGAATCTAAACAATGATTGGCTTTCAGGACACAGCATCAAAGCAGATTTGTGACTTAAGTTGAAATGTTTAGTGTAACCATGATGAGGATGATCATTGATTATAACTGTCTGTTTGTGCTCTGCAGTTGTAGAAGACATCACTAAGCGGCGTGAGCCTCTGCCCAGCATGGAGGCCATCTACCTGATCACTCCTTCAGATGAGGTAAACGACTGAGCTCCTGTAGCTGGTTTTCATTTTATATTATTGTACATAAAGTCTACATTGATTTCTCATCGGCTGTATTCATCCTGAGGTTTTTGCAGTGTTGTCCAGCAACTGTCATTTAATTCCCTCAAAGTGAAATACCAGTTTGTGTATAAAGCCATTATTGTCTATTAAAACACCATGTAATGATGATGATAATACATTAGAACATACACTGGACTTTTTAACACAGATTTCTAAATACAGTGAGGACTCATCTAAACTGTTGTTTCCCTCCACTTTCACAGTTTATGAACTAAAACTTTGTTCTGTCTTCTCTCAGTCTGTCGAGGGTCTGATTGATGACTTCAGAGACCCACAAAATGCGAGGTACCGAGCGGCTCACGTCTTCTTCACAGACAGTGAGTACATCTATCACACGCCAGATAAATGTAACTGGAACATTTACAAACTCCTTTGAGGTATAAACCTGTTTTATGGTGCTTGTGTTCAGTCAATGCTTCAGAAATGTTCCCAAGTGGCTGCAGAGTCAAGAATCTTCCCACTTATATAAAATGGAGATCAATGCTGTGGGGAAAAACTTGATCCTTGTACTGTCGGCATACATACTGCTTAATCATATAATCTGGGATGCCTGGTTACAAGTTCAATAAAGTGCAGAGGTTATCTGAATAGGACCACATGACAGTCAGAGTTTATCTCAATAAAACGAGAAGCCGAGCAGAATTTAGATTGATCATTTTTGCACTTTACAGTTAAAACTCTTTGTCCACCCCCAAGAAGAAAACATTTCACCAGATCTGAAAGGGAACCTGCACATATCCTTTCAGGTATTTGGCTGCTTTCAGGCTGACACAGTCCTGCAAAGAACAACAGTTTGCTCCCTCGTTTGAATAAGACCATTCTGCTGATGTACAGGAGGTTCACTTTTAAGGGCCTCCGATGTTAGTAGCAGTTAGCATGCTATTCATTACTACTCCTTTCCTGTCTGGTTTCATGGTTTACATGTTAACAGTCCGACTAGCAACATGAAAAGCAAGAAAGGACCCTTTAATTGAATATAAGATATAAGATAATGACTAAATTCCTTTAGAGATTATTTCCCATCATGCACTTGATGAAAATGTAGAAGAAGGAGGATCTGGTGGAGTTAGAAGAAGAAGATTCACTTTATTGAAATTCAGTTTTCTGAGTAGTGGAGAGAGCAAGACACGTTTGAGTGGGAAAGGATACAAGGTGACAGAAATTGCTGCGGCCCTTGAGCAACATGGGGTTAAGTGTCTTGCCCAAGGACACATCGACATGTGCCTGCAGGAGCTCGGGATTGAACCTCGGACCTTCCGGTTGAGAGACGACTGACTCTACCACTGACACACATTCACCATTAACAAAACACTCCTGACTTTCTCAGCCAGTCACTGTGCTTCTCTGTGTGTTTTTCTGCAGCGATTCCTGACATGTTGTTCGGACTATTGACCAAATCTCGCGCTTCCAAAGCCATGAAGGCCTTGACTGAGATCCACATCGCCTTTCTGCCCTATGAATCTCAGGTAAGACTCTATCGGGACTGGGATTAAATCTCAGCAGCAGCTCATAATCTATCACCACAGGTATGAGGACGAGGTTAGGACAGATCTTAAATCAAGTATCTGTGTGTGAAGTCTATTTTTGATGGAGCCTGCTCCGAGCAGGTGTTTACTGCAAAAAGTCTACAAGTGACAAGTGACTGGTCAAACAAACACAGAGGTTTCATCCAGGATACTGGATTTGATTCACGTGTTGAACCATCAGCTCAATCAGAAGAGACAATTGAATAAAGACAATTATTTATTACAATGAAATATGGAAATGTTTCTTGACAGAAATAATTTTTGGCGCTTGGACTCTGTGGGGTGGGCGATGTGTAGAATGACAATTCTTAGCAACAGCAACAGCAGAATAGATCCCCCCAATGGAGTCCAGACACTGGTGGTGGTGAAGCTGATGACTTGATGAGACCAAATGGGTGAAGAATTGATGGATGATGATTCTGCGAGATGGCGGTGATGGGGAGGTGGAGGGGCGCACGAAACATCAGCATGAAAGAACAAAGGCAGAGAAAGAATCTTATTTAAAAGGGGAGCAGAATGACGATAGGTTGACAAAGAGGGAGGAACGGCAAGGGATTGGTTAGATGAGGAACCGCTGACGAGACAGCTGATTATCCAATGACAACCCCAGAAAATGACAGCTTGAGAATGACAGTGGGAACGTGAGTGAGCGTACAAAAAGGAATGAATGAGAAAGACCCGATCGTGAAGGCAATTTTATAGTCTTCCTTACTGAACTTACGCTAGAGCTTCATTTCATATTTTTTTTATTTGTAGAGCACATTACAGCATTTTTATAAAGATCAGGACCAGACTTTGTTATAGTACATATTATATAACAAAACCAACAAAGGAATCCACCGTGAGCAAGAAAACATTTCTTCAACAGGCAGGAACCCCGAGCAGAACCAGACTCATTAGAGAAGAGAGAGAGAGAGAGAGAGAGAGAGAGAGAGAGTGAGTGAGAGAGAGCGAGAGAGAGAGAGAGAGAGAGAGAGAGAGAGAGAGAGAGAGAGAGAGAGAGAGGCTGATTTCACACAGGCACTCCTGAAAAGTTCTAGACATTTTCAGAAGTTCACACTGGTTGCATGCAGAACATGTCATCAACCCTGCTCCACAGATTGTTCAATGGTGGCCGCTACTTTCCTAAACTCATTTTGCACTCCAGTCTACCACGACAGTCACATGACTGAAAGCTATGAATTTGTAAGGTGGAGGCCTGCACATACAAAAGTGACGCTTGAGGTGTCCCATTATTATTATTTTTAAACGGAGGATTCTGACATTGCCTCTATGTTTAGGTTGGAAATAAGAACATTTTGAAACTACAGATCTAAGGATGAGTCTGAGCGGGTTCATCAATACAAAGATGACTTTCACATCACACATTTTTAACAGCAACAGTATTTTAAAAGGCCCAATATGAAACACACTGTAAGTATTATAAAGTTAAATGTATTTCTCACTATTGTTGGAATACTATCTTTCTGTTAACTTTTGGCAGGATGATTCCTTAAAGGTTTGATTAACACAAATGTTCTGTTGGCTGAGTGTTTGACATGGTTACAATAAAACATGAAGGTGGGGAAATGGCAGAGCGTGGAGCGTATTCTCCCCTGAACAAAATGTCAGATTATGTATCCCCCTCCTCACCTCCGCAGTGATGGTGACGGTGCTGACGAGAGCTGACAGAGTTTTGTGTTGGATCTGATTTAGTCTTTCAATCCTCTGCTGTCCTGTAGTTTTAATCCTGAGAGGGAGGGGCACATGCTACCTGCCCCACCCCCCCGTCCTCAACTCATCCTTTTACCCCATTGGCTGACGAGATCAACGCTTGCACCGTGTAGCCAATAGGAGCACTGATCCGATGTGTGACAAGAGAAAGCACAGGGATGTTATCATGTGAAGCAGTCAGGAACAGATGGGTGCATGTACACAATGAGTGTGCGTGTGGGAGACAGAGAGAGACAGAGAGAGAGAGAGAGAGAGAGAGAGAGAGAGAGAGAGAGGGATTTATTAGTGACAGCTTCTGAGTGCAAATTCTTTTAAGCTTCAAGAGGGCAGTATTTTTCATTATTTTTAATATGATTGAACCATTTTCAAACCTACAGTAAGTGATAATTGTTTCCCAGAGGATTCTCCTTTTAGCCTTAAAAAGTAAAGAAAAAACATTTATATGATCACAGAAAGCCAAAAATATTTTAAAAAGCTGAATATAATAGAGTGTATTAATTCATTCCTGTAAATTAATAAATAAAAAACTCTCATGGTCTCATGGTCATGAAGCATTAATGTTGCAGACAGGACTGACTGTGAGATCAGAGCTCATGTTGTCCCTCTGTCATTTCATGTCATGTCATTTCGTTTTGTTGTATACAATCACAATTAAGTGTCTATTGTCTTATGTCATGTGTTGTGTTGTGCTGTTTGTGTGCAGGTCTTCTCCCTGGATAAAGTGGATGCCTTTCAGGACTTCTACAGCCCGTTTAAGGCTGACGTGAAGAACAACATGCTGGAGCGCTGTGCTGAGCAGATCGCCACCCTCTGCTGCACTCTCAAAGAGTATCCTGGAGTCAGATACAGAGGGTGAGAGCTGCAGCAAGAAGTCAAGTTAACTTATTGCTCAGTCCAACTTTTAAAATGTGTTGAACCAAACAAACGGAATTAGAAAAAAAGCAATGATACTACGATTTTTTAATTCTTACAGAAAGTCGCAAGCTCAATAGTTACATTGTGCATAGAGCAAATTTTGCAAATCATGGAAAAGATAGGGACAAAAAGATAAAATGTCAGATAGAGAAACCTTTGCTGCAGGAGCAACTTCAAATAAACATAATGTACAAAGCAGAACGATAAAAGCAAAACAATATAAAACAAAACACATGAAACAAAACACAAAGAAAAAATGGATGTAAGAGTAGATAGATTTTAGTAAAGTGTGTTTTGTGAACTGATAAACTCCTGATTCACTCAGGCAGAGCTGTGCAAAGTCAACCATGGATCTCAAAGAGCTCATCTTTGATTTCTTTGGGGAAAGAAGCGACAAATGGAAACCTACTAGCCCAGAAAGAGTCTTACAAAGAATTCAAGTATTATTGTAGTGTATTTTTTAAAATAATTTATAAGATACAGGGAGTGAGAGTGCAGGAGCTTCAAAAGGTGTTTTATAAACTCAAGATTTGTACTCACTAGAGCAAACCTTCAGCATTTTGTTCAAGTGAGGCGTAAAGGAGACACATAAGTACATAATTATAAGAATCAGTGTGTGATCAAACTGATTCACAAACAACCTTCAGCAGATCAGAGGTGAACACAAATCTATAATGAAACACACAGTCATGAGATGTATGTAGTCAGTGTGTTCAGGTACAGAGCTGTTCATGCATGATATATATTTCATCTCTGTGTGTGTGTGTGTGTGTGTGTGTGTGTGTGTGTGTGTGTGTGTGTGTGTGTGTGTGTGTGTGTGTGTGTTGGACTCAGGGAGTACAAAGACTGTGCAGTTCTGGCTCAGATGCTTCAGGAGAAGCTGGATGGATACAAAGCTGACGACCCCACCATGGGAGAGGTATGACCACTGAGTTAAATATCTGAATTACAATAAATAAATCTGAATTTATCCATGTCAGGGTCTTTAGATATGTATGGGACACTCCTAAAAACTGCTGTCTGCTTCTACATTTTATATGTACTTCTTTCTTTACATATATGCAGATCTTGACATTTTGTCTTCAGCTATGATCCTCTACTTATTCAGAAACAGGAAGGCACTTTTTAGTTGTTTAAATTCCTCAAACTTTGGGCCACAATGGGTTTTCATTCAAAAGCTGAAATGTTTTGTTCTGTTAAAAAGGTGGAGATGAACTCTGTGCTCAGCAAAATGAAAGGACTCCAGTCGACAAGATTCTTATTTAGCTGTCCGTAAAGAGAACAAAGTATAAGCAGTGTTTTTGTGTCTGTTGTGATGCCTTCAGGGTCCAGACAAGTCCCGTACTCAGCTGCTCATTCTGGATCGAGGCTTTGATTGTGTCACACCGGTCCTGCACGAGCTCACGCTGCAGGCGATGGCCTACGACCTGCTCGGCGTCGAGAACGACGTCTACAGGTAAAGATGCTCCTGAAGCAGGTCTGACAGCAGCTCCTTTAAATTAATCCTAAACTTCTCTGCTCCAATCCAAAAACCATCTCATTACTTATAGCAATGTTTTATTAATACTTTAAATCATCTATTTGTCAGGAAAATTACAAAATCAAAGATAGATTGTAATCATTAGAATAATCAGAGATTAAATGTAACAACATCAAGAGGGATTTAAAGTACTTAAATAATATTCATGTACTGCAGACATCATTTTTTATTTTCTCTATAAAACAGAAAACCCTCTCTCTCTCTTTGATACACACATGTAGTCTTTGAACATCTCTCTTCATCTCTGCAGTTTTGAGACCAGCGGGATGGGAGAGGTGAGGACAAAGGAGGTGGTGTTGGACGAGGATGATGACCTGTGGCTGTCTCTGAGACACAAACACATTGCCGAGGTGTCAACGTGAGTGTCTTTGACTTTACACACTCACACATACACGCACACACACACACGCACACACATACTGCAGCATAGAGAATGTCCCAGTTTCCCCTTTTTTTTACTCAGTCTTTTCTTGTCTTTTTCTAACTCTGTCCTGTTCCTCACAGGGCTGTCACTCGCTCTCTGAAAGAATTCTCTGCCGGTAAAAAGATGAACACAGGAGAAAAGGTAGAGGACAAACTGTTTCACTGCATCTGCTTTAGTCTCCAGATCTGCTACTGTGTTTCTGCCCCAGGCTGTCCTTCACGCAGTCACACAGGGGATGATGGTTTCACAAAGAAGTCCTGAACTTTTCCTGAATTTTGATCAAGTTAAAGACAAGTGACTCATAAGTGAATAAGTGAAGCATAAGACATGGACTTCTAAATTCTATACACATTTAAAAACAAAAGAAAAGCTTTGAAACCCCTGATTTAGAACATGTGCAACAATTAACCCATTAGATGACGACTTTTATTTAAGTTAAGGTTTATTTTTTGGCTTTTTATGTCTGAAATTAGAGCTAGGACAGTGGATAGAGTCAGAAGGGGTGAGAGAGTAGGAAAGATATGCAGGAAAGGAGCCACAAGTCAGATATGAACCCGGGCCGCCCGCTTGGAAGACTACAGCCTCCGTACATGGGTCACTAACCACTATAGCCTCCAGTACTTTCTTAATTGTTGTTCATCACAACAGAACGTTCAAGTCATCTATAAAGCACTATGCATGTGTTGTTACTGAAACTGTAAAAGCTCAAATAAAACTGAGTTAGAAGGGGAGGTAAGGCTTTACCAATTCATCACTAACATAAATCTAAACTCTCACTCTGTGTTTTTCAGACCACCATGAAGGAACTGGCTCAGATGCTGAAGAAGATGCCTCAGTACCAGAAAGAACTCAGCAAGGTACCACCTGAATCACACTGTTGTCTGTATGTTAAGAGGATGAAATGGTTCTGTGTTAAATAGACTTAATACAACTTTTTATCCAAAGCACCTGAGACACTGCCTCCCTTCAATGGGAGTTTAACCTATAACTCTTTTTTCTTTTTAATGCAGATGCATTCCTTCTATCATTTAGAAGTTAAGTTAGACACTTCTGGTTCATAATTTTTATCCGTGCATTCATTTGTGCATACTGTAGGTGCACTTTGGCTGAATTGATCGTTAGACTGTTTGAACAATCTTTTGCAAGAAAAGAAAATCACACGGTGGCATGTTAGAATAGTCACAAAATACTCTTCATATAGTGAAAACTTTACTTGGAAAATTCCAAACGTGAATAAAAAACAAACAAACCCCTAAAGCATTCTTCAATACACAATGTTTGCAGCTGATTGTTCCCTCTGTGACTCTCTGACATCCTCTCTGTCCTCAGTACTCGACCCACCTCCACCTGGCTGAAGACTGTATGAACCGCTACCAGGGCACTGTGGACAAACTGTGTCGTGTAGAACAGGTGAATCACACACACACACACACACACACACACACACACACACACACACAGACCTCTGTTACAGACTGAGTAGTTTCTGTCTTTCCATCCAAACCTCGTTAATGTGATAGCTCAGGATTGTTCAGAGGGAATATCTTCAAATGTGACACAAACACCCACTTGGACTCATGGAGGCACTGACCAGATTCCAGATTTTGCTGCTCAAAGCTCACTGTGACATCACGTCCAGTTCACCAAACAGTCTTGATATTTCTCAGCAGCACATGGAAGAATGTTTCTTTTTTCTGATTTATTACGATCCTGAGGCCATCAATGATGGATAAGAGGACAATCTTTCATCACTCTGTTTGTTCTGCAGTGGGTAAAAGGTCAACTAACCAACACATGATCTGCAGCGAAACACAGACAGAGACGTTGTCTGGTTGAATGTCCTCCTGTAAATGAATGTGGCGGGATCTTTCATTTTAAGTTCAGGCCTTCAAATGCTGTTTTGCTTTCTAGTATATTATTTTAAGTGTTTTAATGTACAAATCCTCTGTTCTAACCACAAATAGTGAAGGATTGTAACCATCCCTTGACTTCTATCTGATGTTGGAATAAAATTATACCTATGAAGAACTTATCTGAAACGTTGTCCTCTCCTGTCCTCCATTGTTTTCAGGATCTGGCGATGGGCATGGATGCAGAGGGAGAGAAGATCAAAGATCCCATGAGGCTCATTGTTCCCATTCTGCTGGACGCCAATGTCAACGTGTCCGACAAGATCCGAATCATCCTGCTCTACATCTTCATGAAGAACGGTCAGATATTCACTCTGCTGGTCCCGTGCTTTTTCACATAACATTTTTAAACATCTGTCTGATAATGATAAAAAGAAAGGTCAGAATATGCATGCATTCATATTGTGTTCTGTGTTTCTTTATTGCTGTGACTGCATTTTAGTTTGTATTGTGTCTGCATGCATCATCACAGCTGGTAACGTGCATGCTCTCATGCATGTGTGTAAATCTACGCTGCATGTCTTTGTGTGTGTGTGTGCGTCAGGTGTGACTGAGGAAAACCTGTGTAAGCTCCTTCAGCATGCAAACATCCCACCAGAGGACAGTGACATCATTTCCAACATGGCTCACTTGGGCATCCCCGTTATCTCTGAGGTGAGCTGCCCTGAGTCAGGTCCTCAGTGTTTCTTCATGGACAATGTTCTCCCTAAATACAGAGCAGGCCGTCCTGCAGGAAACCAACATTTCTGAGTGTGACATTAAATAGTTTGTTTCCTTTTTTCTACAAAGCATAATAAGCAGTATGGAACTACAACTAACTTTTTTAAATGTAAAACTTTTAAGATTCCCAGTCTCATGTTTTCTTAAATGTGTTGATGCAACACCCTGCATAAATACACACATACTCCTGCTGCACTGCTGTGAAAGACTTTCAGAATCCTGTGTGCCTGAAGATAAATCTGGTTTACTTTGTATTTGTTTCATTTAATTTTAGAAAAACTAACTGATAAGACCAAAATCATGTGTTAGTTTGAAATCTTTTAAAACAGCACACAAATGTAGCTTGGTGGTTTCTTTAAATAGCTGCTCAGTTTGGTTATTAACCCTCTCTAATCAGGAGACGTTGATGCATTTGTTGGTGACTATATGAAGAAGTGGATTTGTCCACAGTGGGGTCTGTATTGAGCATTTAGGACCGTTCAAAAGAAGAAGGAGGATTGAGAATGACCAAAAAAACAAAACAAAAAGGCCTTAATCTATGATGAAAGATATTTAATTTCAGATGAAGAGATTCTCATTTTTCTTTGCACCACCCTACAGAACTGCTTCCCTTAGACACCTGCTAATGTTGTCCTGTTTGCACTCTGGGTATTTTGCAGCAGTAGGTGATTGTGAAATCTGTTTTACAGAAAAGGGTGTCAAAGCTAACCAGCTTTATGCACAACCTGGCTTATACTGGGAGAGCAAAACTGTTTGCTGCCCACACAATTAAATACTGTACATGTACACGCTACATGCTGCAGTGGGCCAGAATGAGGTTTGGGGGGCAGAAACAGTTATAGAGAAACTGGAGAAAATCTTCAGAATTTTTTTTTTTTGTGGTGGGAACAGTTCTTCCTAAAGTGTATAGGCCCGTTAGAAATGTAAGTTTATGTGGAGATTTGCTCAGAAAAAGGCAAAACCAAACTAAAAGTGTGCTTGAGATAACCACTTAGAAACCTCACGCCAGTGGATCAGTGTAAGCTTTTTGAAAAATAATATCTGCCCTCACAGCTCCAGACAGTATTTGATGCACAATCCTAAAAAAATGACACATGCTGCACCTTTAGTGACCTCAGTGAAGTGAACTTAGTGAAGTGACTGGATTAATGAAATCAGTATCTTTTCTTCACAGGGCACCACCACCAAGAAAGCCAAGAAGCCCGATCGTAAGGAGCGAATCAGTGAGCAGACCTACCAGCTGTCCAGGTGGACTCCTCTCATTAAGGATCTCATCGAGGTACTTCTGATGAACAAGTCCACATAAACACAAACATATACAGGCGAATATTATTAAAGGATAGATAGTCAGTGATTGAACCCTGTTCCTGTTTGCTGCGTGTTTTGGTTTTGGAATATTGAATATTTTGGGGTTTTCGACAACTGACTCTTGGATTACTGACAGTAGATTATCTGCTGAGACCACTGGTTCAACCCCTGCCTGACCTGCACAGAATCATATTTCATTAAAGAGTGGAGCTAGGGGGCGCCGGTGAGCGTAGTGGTTAGTGCGCTCCATGTAAGGAGGCTCTCCTTCTCCAATCTGTTGATCCTGTCCTGCAATGTCATCCCCCACTCTCTCTCTCTCTCTGATTTCTGACTCTATCCACTGTCCTACCTCTAAAATAAAGCCATACAAAAAAGAGCCGACATCACATTAAAGTGTATTCACTTGCTTCTCTGCTGTTGTCATCTTGTGAGCAATCAAACAAAACAACCTGACTACTTTAGTGTGATAGTCTACTTTACTGTATTTGCTAATTGCTAAATGTATTTGGCATTTAGTGATCAAACGAATGCTTTTAGAAGCAGCCTATTCCTGATGCATTTATCTTATAAAATAAGAGTTGCTCCTCACTGCATGAAAGTAAAAAAAAACCGTTATTATTAGTGATGCAAGTTATCTGTATCATTTAGCATGTAGCAGTTCTGTCCCTGTAACTACATGTTGTGACACTGTTCACCTCCTGTATTTCCTGAACTGACTTGTTCTCTTTTTAAGAGCTGCAAGATTCTGTAGCATTTTTTCTTCTTTGAGTTTTGTGTGTAAACAGAAGAAGTCATGAAGATTATTTGGTTATCAAGAAGCTAAAAACCACTTATGAGGGGACCGCATCCTGAGATTTTGTGGTTTTATTTACCACGTCTCCCTTTAATTTGAATGTTGTCTGACTCTGTGTTTAGAGAGTATCGTGAGGTTAAAGTTACAATTTTACTGGTTCCGTTTCTGCTGCCAGATTACATAACTTAAAGTGTGTTCCCTCAGGACTCCATTGAGGACAAACTCGACCCTAAACTGTACCCGTACATTTCCCAGCGACAAGTTTCTTCAAAAGTCAGCGCTCCATCGAGGTGTGTAGTTTTTAAAAACACCTTCCATACACTTCAGAAAACATACGAATATCATAATTACAACAATTAAATTTCAGCAATAGTTATTTCTTCAGATGGTTATTCTTATTTCCAATGATAACCTTTCAATGTTTTTCACATGTTTCCTTTTAGTAGTGCGCGTTACGGTAACTGGCACAAGAACCGGGGCCCCACAGAGATCAAGACGGGGCCCCGGATCATCGTCTTCATCATCGGAGGGATGACCTACAGCGAGATGCGTTGTGTGTACGAGGTCACACAGGCCAACGGAAAGTGGGAGGCCCTGATTGGTGAGTTCACTTTTACTAAAGAGCTATATCAACATTATTAAATTCAGCTTGAAATGTATCTGATGTCCATCATTAGAGGAGCTGAACTCGTCCTTGTATCACATTTTATATTTCACTGCTTAAAACACTCTCTTGTAGCTAAAGAGCATTTTCAGTTTGAATTGTAAAGAAAAGTTTCAGAAAATGAGTTTTGCCATCAGTGCTGCACAATGGAGTGTGACCTTTTGCAATAAACACATTGCAAAAGTCTGAATTTATTGTGATGGATATAGATTACTTTTCTATGTAAGCAAGCAATGCTTTCTCACTCAGCATGCCTCCATTTGTTGTATTGGATGGGTGAGAATTAAGTCATTTAATGCAATCAGATGAAGATGAAGCCTTTCTGCTACTCTCAGATTGATTGGTGGTTATTCAGCAGAGAAAAAAAAAACTTTTTGGATTTATTTTGGATTCAGGAGAGACAGGTTGCAAAAGGTATTTTGTGAACATGAAGACTTGCAGATAGACATAAAAAAAAGCTGTGAGCTGAAGCTTAATTCCACGCTTTCATTTTTGTTTATTTATCACAACAACACAAGAATGAAAAATGTTATTGCAAATCGTACATTCTTCTCACATCATGCAGGCCTATTCAACATGTGGTTTCTTTTTTCAAGGCTAATCTCTGCATTTGGTTGAACAGTTAAAGTTGTGATCTGGTATTCATTACATTTTTTAATCAGAGGGTTGATCATAATGTTTGACCTGCAAGACTGTACTGATGTAAATGAATGAAAGCTAGATCAACAGTCTTGAGTGTTTGGATCATGCTGATGGCTCTGTTTGGAACTCTGATAAATATGTTTCCTGATCAGCTGAGTCTGCAGATCTTTACTGCTGTGAAATTAAAAAGGGGAGATTACATTTTTTATGACTCTCAGAGAATGGATGAAGAAGGAGAAGAGAACAATGTAAAATATTATTATCACCTCAGATTGCATCAGACCTTTAGTTATTCTGACCTCCCAGTATATATTATAGCATTTTTTTAAAAACGTTCTAAAAGACCTTGAAGCATTTCTTTTGTTAAACGTTTATCCAGGATGCAGTGTTTGGTGATCTTAAAGGTTTGTGTCCTCTGCAGGTTCCACCCACATTCTCACCCCCCCTAAATACATGAAAGAACTCCAGCACCCAGACTTCCTGGATCCCAACGCCCCACCAGAGGGCACCGAGGAGCCGCCTGCAGAGTGAAAAACACGTCTGGAGGTAAAACACAAGTCGTGTTGGGACTTTTTGAATCCCTGTGTTTCTCCTGTGTGATCCAACCTGCTCAGTGTGTTTTTTGAATCCCTGCAACATCTTAAAGACAATCAAATGCTGCCCTACTGTTGTTAAGACACTGACCCTGTTCCTTTTTCAAACCTAACATCTGGAACACGTTTATGACAGACTGGCCTGATGTTAAACTCACCTGTAATCGAGTATTCAATAGAATCATACATTCATTTGATTAATCACTGGCTCTACTGATTATTGCAAACACTCTATGGACAAAATGTGGAGAAGATATTAACCTGCAGCTCAGAATGCAAAAAGTTATATGCGCTAATGGCAACAGTAATGATGGTAGATTTATGTATTGGATCAGTAGAAGTTACAAAAAATGCATTCCTGTATTTCCTCAATAGAAGGTATCAGCAGAAATGTTACATCCCCTCCAGTGTTCAGTGAGAGGAAGCTGTGATGAGTGTGTTTCACAGCGTCTTAACCCCTATTCAGAGTGTTTTTTTTCCACAAAAGTGCCGTAACTAAGCTCAGCAGTCATCACAGCTTTGTACATTCATGTGTAATCTGCGACGGCATAATATTGGTGTCCAATTCTGCCTATTCACTTTGCGTTGCGGCGTTTCCAAAGCACGGCACTACAGGAGCTCCACGAGGACACACAGTCAGACTCAGACATGCACACACACACACACACACACACACACACACACACACACACACACACACACACACACACACACACACACACACACACACACACACACACACACACACACACACAAATCTTGCTTTGCAGTTCAGAACGCTGGAGACAGAGAGCAGAGTAACAGCAGACTGATGTTAGTGAGTACTAAGGATCATACATTACACGTCCAGTCTGAACATTCAGAAGTTATTACAGACGATTTGACCTTTGAATGTGTTTGTGGTTGTTAGGGTAAAAAAAGGCAGCTAAACTAAAACCTATGTCTGCTATGAGGTGACTTTGTACTACAGGCCTCTTCTTTGTTGCAGGTCTTTGTTGATTTTCTAGTCCATTACAACTTTTTAGTTTTGCATTTGATTAAAGGCTTTCTTAACTCTTTTTATCATCTTACAACTTTCTGTTGTAAGATGTATCCTTGTCTCGTAACTCATTATTGTTTCTTTGTTGTCTTTTCAAAACACATGGAAGCATACTTAATATATTTGGGTTTGTTTGCCATGATCTGTAGCAACTTTGGGTTTGGGTTTCTTGAGACATTAAGAGGTCAAATCTACATTATGAAATAATAGCCACAAACTTAAGCACTGCAGCCAGTGACTCATCTGTGATATGCATGTATGATTTTACATATTGAGCAGGTTAAAAGAGTTTACCTTTACAACACAGACAACACTGAGATATAAAGTATAGGGCAGCTTCTCTGTCCTGGCTTTGATACTGTAACATCAGTGTACCAGATCGCTGACACCACTGACCTTCAGACGGGACAACATGTGACTTTCTAACATAAAATATCTGTCTCTGGTTTTATTGAATGTCAGCTTTGAACAAGAAAACATGCCCTCTTGGAGTGTGAGATCTCTGCATCTTTTTTTCCACTAAGGATGTGAGGATGTTATTGTGTTGTTCCTCGCTCTCTTTGTTGTTACCTCCAGGGCATCTCTATGATTTGTTTCCCCCTCACTGTCGCTGTTCTTTGTCTTTCTTTTCGGAGCCATTGTAGCAAATCTTGTTCAACACAAATCCTTCAGGGCCTTTTTCTTCACACAGTCACATCTGTACAGAGGGAAATGTCAATTTAGTTTATCCTTTAAATGTCATGCAAGGTGAGGGAAATGTTTTGTTGTCAAAGGGCTAAATGTTGAACTAAAAGTGTTTCTCTGAGAGTTTCAGGAACTATATGAAACTATGCAACGAGGTATGAAAATGTTCAACAGATATGTTTGTACGCTCACTGTTTAATATAAACATGTATGGGAAGCCAAAAGGGTCAATTTCATCCCGATCTCCAGGTGTTTGATAAACATAAACAGGCATTTATCATAACATCTGGCAATGTTCAATAATGCCTTTACTCACACATTCATTGTTCTTCCTTCATTCAACTCTTCCACTCCCTCCATCTCTCTGCTCTGGTGATCAGCTGATTATGGGCGTTTACTCTTCAAGTAATCAACCAACCAGAATCTGCCACAACCTCTCTTGATCAATCATCCTGCAGCTGTCAAATTTTAAAATCTGTTCTCTCTCTTCAGTCCGTCATTTCAGTGCGATCGCTGTAATTGCATTTTATCTGTTCAGTTGCTGTGATGTTTTTTTTTACAACACAAACCAAGGCAATTTTTAAAATCTGCACTTTTACAGATGTAGAGTGTCCACCTGGTGTAAGGTAACGGGAGGGGAGAGCGACCGCAAATATTAAACATGTCCTCACCTCTGACTGGTGTCAGTCTGTCACTGCCACTGTAGGGCAAGGGAGCGATGGGTAAAGATATGCAGCCGTGACTCGTGGGACGGGGTCTGCCATGTTTGTTTAGATGATGTGTCACACCTGGGCAGGTAGTTAATAGCTGACAGAAACCAGGGTGAGGTGTATACATGCCACAGTATCCTGTTTCCTTGGGACTTCTCTGGTTTCAAAATTGGGTTCCTCAAAATCCGAGTGCTAGTCCTTGTTTCTGAACTCGGGCTATGATGTTTACATTCACAAACACAAAAACTGAATACATAAAAAAACCTGAACAAACCCCAAGATACTCAGTCCACTTGATCTCACTCAATGCTCTAGAAGGTAGAATCTGTAAAAAGAGATTAGGTCGTCATAAAGCTGAGTAGAGGGAAGGTTTTTTTCTACTCTTTTGTTTCCAAAATATATTGATATCTTCTTTCTGTCTTCCAGTATCAGCGGACGTCTTCGCCCCCTCTCGCCTTCTAACAGCCCCCCCTGGAGAAAGAAGATCAGACGGACCCCCACCTTAACCCCCTATACCTCCTCCAGCATTACACATCAAATATACACTTTATGTTTTATATGATTCAGTCATTTTTAACTTATAAACCAGACTTTAAATATCAACTTTCAACTGTGACATTTATCAGACATCAGTGGATGTGTTAAATATTGTTTACTGTATATTGTGAGATGTTAATTATCGGGGAGACATTCATTTAGACGACTGGATGAGATTCAAGAGAGTGTCAGGGATCAATGAAACTGAAAAATAACTCCACCGTGGTTCACAGTTCTCTCAGAGCAAAATGATGTTCATGGATTTCACTTTATCTTTGCAGTGACTTCTATAATTGTCTCTCCCTAACCAGTACACAGTGTCCTCTTCTTTCATGTTATTGAGCAGGCTAGTTTTAATGTAGTGCTTTCCATTCAGTAGCAATGATGCCATACTGTTCAAATCAGCAGATTTATACAGAGATGTGTCTGACCCTGGACATGCATGCCAACATAAAATCACTCTGATGGTGTATGTATAGCAGTAGATCAAACATTTGAGCAGAACATTATAAAGTTTAGTGGGCTTGTCCTATTTGTTTTTGACAGTGTTCTTTCCTCCCGTAGAGATTCAGTTTACTCCTGTTTGACCATAACGTCGTCATTTCTTTTGGTTTTGTTTTGTGATTCTGTATAACTAGTTATCTACTGTGTATGAAGAGATATCCATGTAAAGACAAGTCCGTGCTTTTATGTCCACATGAACATTACTCGCTGCAGGATGTGTGTTAAGTTAATAAAGTGGCTTCATTTCAAACCGTTGTGCGTTTTTTTTGTTTGACTGTGAAAATATTTGGCTGCTGTGAAGGACAAGATCAGAGCAAACAGAATACTGAAGAGAGGAACTTTTGGACGTTTGAACAGTCTTTAAAGGAAGAATGTGCGACATTTTACACATACATTTAGCAGAAATTCAACATATGTCTCTGAGTCATGAGTGTCGACAATGAGTGTGATGCGCGAGTCCTGTTGGCTGTGATGTTGTCATGCTCATCCCCTTTTGTATAAACGCTGTTTAATTGAGGGACTAGAGGAAAGATGAATAACATACTGTACTCACTGCTTATTTGGATGTCACATAAGTGTTTTTAGATCATGGTCATTCTGTCTTCATTTACATGCAATGTGAAGCTAAGAGCAAGCTAAAGAGCGCTACCATTAGCCTGCTTAGCCATTAGCCTTAACAATGCAGCTCGAGAAAAGGACATAAGGGTAACTCCTATGTGTAAACGCGAGGGGTCGGTGTGTCACTGTGGGTTGCAACGTAGGAGAGTGGAGGATTCAGTGTAGCGGAGGTTTGGCCAAAAAACAATTTGTTTTGCTTTCAGGCTGGTGTTCAAGGAAAACACCTACTGGATCTAAAAGTCACACATTCTTCCTTTAAATCGTGTAACCAAGTAAACATAGCAACTGTTTAACAGTGCAGTAAAGCAGAGAACCACAAATGGTGCTGTGTATAACTTCTCACCTCCATCCTCAGACAACAGCAAGGAAAAAAATAATCCCAAGAGATAAGTGTAAATAATGCTGACTTTGCAGAAAAGCATTACACACTTGTACAGTTTCAGGCCTCAAACATTGTCAGAAATGTAGCCATTTTGCCCGCTCCTTTTATAGGTTCAGTGTTTGTTACTGTATCAGAGCGCCATGTTTTTCCTCTCAAAGGTGACGATGTGGAAAAATAAGCCAAATGATTTGAGGTAAATTGAACCAGTTATTGAAATGATACCATTATAGTAAACAAATAAAGCCTCTGTCTGGAGTCAAATCATATTTTTCTTGAAATGTACTTAAAAAGTCTTTAATTTGAGGACAGGCTGGACTTTTCATGAAGTTAATTCACTATTTTTTTTAACTTCAATGCAATTGCAGTTTTTTGAAGCTGTTACCATGACCACTGGAATCCTGACTGTATGTTTGTGATAGTAAATTTAAAGACGATTACTTTTTATTTCAGTACATTTAAAACATTTTATTTCAGAGATTAAATCAATGAAGCAGGTATGAATAAACAGAAGAGAAAAAGGAAACTCGAAGAATAATTATCAACATTTATTCCTCGACACGACAGCAACAACAAAAGCAAGCTGCGATTCCCCGAAAGAATCTGCCAATTCTCTTCAGCACTTTTTTGCCTGAGGAGGCCGAGACTGCAGCAGAGGAGTCAGTGGGATCACCTCCTTTACTATCAGGAAGGGGAGGTACACCTCCATCAGGTGATCCAGGAAGCGGGGCTTCTGTACAGGAGGCTCTGACATGAGCGCAATCAGAAGACAAAGACACAGAATCATCATCCGAGGAGCCTTTAGACGAGGTACTAGACAGAGAGTACAGTCCTCCGTCTGAAGACCGGGTACTAGACAGAGAGTACAGTCCTCCATCTGAAGACCGGGTACTAGACAGAGAGCACAGTCCTCCATCTGAAGACCGGGTACTGGACAGAGAGGACAGTCCTCCATCTGAAGACCAGGTACTGGACAGAGAGGACAGTCCTCCATCTGAAGACCGGGTACTGGACAGAGAGGACAGTCCTCCATCTGAAGACCGGGTACTGGACCGAGAGTAAAGTCCTCCATCTAAAGACCGGGTACTGGACAGAGAAGCTTCTGGATCTTCTTCACAGGAGATTCGAGGTTCTTCTCCTTCAGTCAGATCTACATCTGGAGCTTCTCCCAGGAAGAGGAGCTGAGGAGCTCCATAAAAGCGCCAGAAGGCTAAACTAGCTTCATAGGAGTATATGGCTGGTACCCCATTACATGACCCTGTGGGGGGGTCATCTTCATAAGAGACCAAGTCTTTGTCTCCATCCATGAAGCAGGAGAGTGGAGCTTCCTCAGTGGGACCAGTGGACAGAGCAAAGGATCCAGAGTCTGAGACTTGTTCAGGGTTTTGTTTGGTACCCATCATGTCTCTGATCAGAGAGGAGAAAGAACGACAACAATCAGAAAATCAGTCCATCAATAAAGCAGCAGTCCATCAGAGCTCCTGTGTAACCCTAACCCTAACCCTAACCCTAACCCACGAGCAGTGTGAACACACACAGTCACTCACAGGTGTGTTCTGTCAGGGTGCTGACTCAGGTGAGACGTACTGATGAACGGGTGCTGCAGAGCCTGTCGGGGACAGATTCTCTGATCCCCGTTAAGATGCAGCAGACGTTTCATTAGATCCACAAACTGGAACCTGTCCTGGAGCTCAGCAGCTCCCTCTTCTGGATACATCTGGATTTTAAAACACATTGAGGTGAGCTGAGTGAGCCAGCAGCTCCCAGAAACAGATTATTAAGAGGTGCTGATGGATGTTCATGAACACATCAGAGAGTACGTACATGAACCAGAGCATCCAGAGAGCTCGGCAGCTCCACCGCGCTGTCCTGCTCCTGTACTTCAATATTATTAACGGCTGTGAATTCTTCAGGCGTCTAAAGGATCAAAAGCAATATGAGAAACAAAAGAGTTTAAATGAAATATGAATCTTCTCAGACAAAGAGGAACATGGTAACTGTACCAGCAGCCTCCATGATGGAGCACCAGCTGCCTCCTCCTTCTCCTCAGTGAAGAAGAACCTGGTATGAATCCCAGCACGGAGCAGCTGCTCCTCCGGCTGACCAACAACCTCCACAATGGACTTCATCTGCACACATAAAGAAACACATAAATCATGTGAGCTAACACTCTGCATCAGGTCTGCTCTGTGTCTGAGGGAGCTGACATACCATCTGATAGTCACAGTCGACTGGGAAGAGGTTTTCAGCCAGGTAGAGGGAGGCCAGGACGCAGCCCACCCCCCACACATCGATAGCCTCAGTGAAAGGAAGGCCGAGGGCGACTTCTGGAGCCCTGAGGAGGAAGACCAGAGCCAAAGTCAGAAATATGTTGGACAACTCTGAAGACAAGGAGGACAACACAAACTGTGCTAAATGAACATCTGAGCCATGCAGGAGGAACCTACCTGTATCCACGTGGCTGAACTTTAAGCCCCACCTTGACTTCATCAGCTGTGATGGCTGCACCAAAGTCGATTAATTTCACTCTGATTTGTTGGTCCTGCTTGTTGACAACCATCACGTTGTCAGGTTTGATATCCATGTGCAGGATACCAAGACCCTTCAGGGCGTCCAGAGCGACCAGCAGCTGCAGGGACGAAACAAAAAGACAAAGTTTGGATTTCCATGAGCTGCTGAGTGGGCTTTAGGGTTAATGGTTTCTACAATGATGAGTAGTAGTAGTTATGCAGAACGTTAATGAATATGTGAATCAGACCTGCTCTGTGATGGGCCGGATGGCGTTCAGACACAGAGGTCTCCAGCCAAATTCTTGGAGCAGGTCGTACAGACTGGTGTCGAGCATCTCGAATGCTAAACACGTCTGTCCCATGTAGTCGAACCTCTCGAGGAACTTCACCAGGTTGGTGTGGTCTGGATTGAGGACAGAGATGACCTCTAACATGGACACCTGGTCAGAAAAGAGGAGACATGACAACAGTTCATGAGACTGTACGTCCTCTGATGGAGCAGACACAATCTGATGAAAACTTGACTTCATTAAAAATCCACCTCTTTCTCAGAGTCCAGGATCAAACCAGCATCCTCCTTCAGGATCTTCACTGCCACCGTCTCTTTGGTGACTATGTTCACACACTTGGCCACTTTGCCGAAGCAGCCTTCACCGATAAACTCCAGAACGGAGTAAGCAGACGAGCCGCTGAACAGAGTTTCACCTGTGTGAAGCTCAGGTGTGCTGAAGGTGACTGTGGAGAGAAAACGTGTGAAGACAGTGTGTTCAGTGTGAGACCATGTTCAGCATCAGGGTGAAGATGGTTGAGTCTTACCTGCTGACATGTTTACACAGTCAGGTGTTTCTCAGGTGGAGAACGAACCTTCAAGTTTAAATGTTTTAAAATTCAGAACGAACAACTGTTTCCAACTAAAATCTCTCTCCTCTCAAATGTGTGTTTCCTCTCTGAGTGCTGATGGGGAACTGACCGAGATCTACCAAACTGCTCAGCTTTTAAACTTCTAGAACTTTCTGATCTATGACGTCATAATCTGAGCTGTGTGTTCTATTCTTTTTAGAACTCACTGAAACACAAAATACAAAACAACATGCTGAAACATGTTTTTATTCAAATAATCTCCTGAATATAAGAATTACTGGTGGATTGGGGAGGAGGGGGTGGGACGGGGTGGTATGACGGTGACAATGAGAGGCAGCAGAGTGTCCATGATGATTCTACATAAAGAAAAACAGTGGTGGATAGTTTTGTTCAGTTTTCTACCCATGCGCTTGTCAAACACCTTCAGCCATGGGGGTTTGAAGACTTGGAGAAAGGATACTTTGCCTATACATTCAATATACCAGGTGATGAATCAGACAAAGGCAGATATCCAGACAATTTATACTATGGCTATGACCACATGAGTGACAGAGAGAAAGTCGTATTTATGAAATGGTATGAGTGCATGAAGAAATCTTTGTTTTTTAATCAGAGATTTGCAAGTACTGCATTAATGATGTGTAAGTGTTGCGCAAGGCTTGCTTGATTTACAGTCCTGAAGTGTACAGAACTAGACCCTTTACCATACACCACACTGCCATCCAGTTGTATTTGACTTTTTTCAAAACGTTGTTCCTTCCCAGAGACACAGTGGTGCTCACGTATGATGGTGCATACATCCACCAGAATAAGACAAAAGTACTGTATGTGTCTATCCAA